AAAAGATATTTATAATAATTTGAGAATCATGCAGCTCTTGCTGGGAAACAAACTAGCCGTGCGTGAAAAGGTACATTTTTTCCGTAACTTTTTTCTTTCTTTCTCTGTTTCAGCCACAGGTTGATCACCATACACGGACGCCGCCCATCACCTGTTTCTCAGGACTGTGGCGTTCCTCCTATTTATGGCTCTCCTCTGAGACTCCGGGCCTCGCTGCTGTGCTGTTTGCACAGCTTGCCCGATTTCTCAGGAGGGTGGACGGTTTGCACAAGCTGCTCAACTTCTCGCACTTTTTATCGCAATCATTTCTTTCCTCTGCAGGTCAGAGTCCGGGCAGCCACCTCGTTGAGAGGAAGTCTCATGGATCTGAAGGACCTTCCGATTTTTGATGGATTGCTCTTGCTTCAGAAAGAGGGCGTTTCCCTCTTTCAGGCAATGAAACACAGAGAGGCAGCTGAGGCCCTGTCAAATAGAAACCAGCTCATGAACAACATGGTTGGCAGTCAAGTCACTCCTCTATCTGTTCCACAGGTTGTCTATAGCATCATCTGATACTGTTAGAAAAACACAAATATATATATTAAAGTGAACTACTTGTCATTGTGACACAGCACACCACTGCTCACAAAGAAATGTGACCTCTGCCTTTAACCCATCACCAAAGTGAACAGTGGACAGATTTAAGTGAACAGGGAGCAGTGCAAGAGGACGGTGTCATGCTCAGAGCACCTTAAAGGTAACTTGGCAGCATGTGGACTCGAACTGCTTCCTTATCCACTAAGCCACCACTAATCCCAAAACAAATGGGCTCGTCCGGGATTTGAACCCGGGACCTCTCGCACCCTAAGCGAGAATCATACCCCTAGACCAACGAGCCACTCACACAATCATAAGCCAAGACAAAAGTGAACTTCTGGAAGCGGTTTCTTTGTACTAAACCATATTAGGACTTAAGGTATTCCAGGTGTGCAAGACTACAGGAAGTTTCTGTTGCAAATCCTCTTCTGTTGGAGGTGCAACTTCTGTTTCCCTTTTAGCCCTTTCGAACAATTCGGTTCACGAACAAAATTTTAATCAAAAATTGCCCCGATCACCGTACCATACCGCGGTTGCCGAACAAGCCAACACTATCACGTGGGCATTGATTAATCACTGAGTGACTGAGCATGTGGCGTGAGTCCGTGATCGAGATATACACGCTAAGAACTGTCGTCTGATTTCGCCGCTATTTCATGAGTTGTGCCATTTTTTCTATCTTTTTTAATGGGAAAGAACGCCAGTGAGGACAACAACAGAAGTGAAGAAGAAATAATGAAGGAATGAAAGCATGAGAATGGCGCTCGTGTTTCAGATCTGGCTTCACGCTATGGCTTTGTCGTTGATTTGTAGCATCATTAAGAACAAGGGAGCAATAAAGGACGCTAAGGTTGCCAAAGAAGTGACTGTGATCACCAAGCAAAGATCTCGGACATTAGAAGAAGTGGAACTGTTGCTACTGATCAACGAAAAGCAGTTCACCGGCGGCAGTATTTCGCAGACAATCATTGTGTCATCACGACTCCTCAGCACTGGTAAGAATGAATTGAATTTCCCTTTACGTTTTATAGCGTTATTCTTTATAACGTTGTGTTGATCCTTTGTTGTTGTTGTTGTTGTTAAATCTAATTATTTTCATTGGTTTTGAAATAGTTTGAATAAGCAGTCATCATGTTTCAGCTGTTGTTGCCTTTTCCTTTGAAATGTGTTTAGAAGGTAAAAAACCATCATCACAAAGAACTAGATTTTGTAACGGAGGCCGTAGGGCATATTGACAGAAATCTGAAAGCACTAAGCCTTTAGCAAGGAGGGAGTGCCATGACGGCCAACAAAATAATCTAAAAGGTTAACCTCTTAGAGATTAGTTGCTATGTCACACTAGTTTTGTGCTTCTAAGGTTCGAAGGTCACCAAGAGATCAAGTACAGGAAAAGGTTTTGCTTTATCATGTTATAGGTGGATGAACAAGTTTCCCTTTTTAAAATTTTACAAAACCTGATGAGGGTGAGTCAGAGTCACATTTTTAATCACTGACAAGAGTTACAATTTGATCTGAATAGGGAGCAGGATCAGGATTTGATTATAGAACTAATTTGCCTGTGAATCAAAGAACCGTGTTGAACATCTGGCCAGACCGCGTCGAGCCTGACTCACAGGGTTTAGGATGGCAGTGTTATGGTGAGAAAGCAAAAGCTGCATGTTGTGACTGTCAAAGCTGTTTTCATAAATAACAAACAAACCGAACTGAAGCTTCGTCAAAGTCAGTCAGAAGCAGCGAGAGTCCAGGTGCTACTTTGCAAGTGACATGAGAAACTGCACGGACTGTATTGACTGTCACAGCTGCAGGGTCTTAAAAAGGGATTTTATTTTTGTAGGTGGTACAGAAGACCTAACACTACCTTTGCTGTCACAAAACACTCCCACATTTGAGTTTTGCATTGACTTTATACATATAAATGTATGATGTGTAAATAATCATTTTACTCCTTTAACTTTGCTTCCATGGCTCCGAGGGACATGTTATTGTCATGATGCGTTGAAAGCATATAAAAAATGACATTATGTTGTAAAGGTTGGCGGATGTGTAGTGATACTGTGTGCTATTGTTTGTGTGGTTCTTGAGGTGACTGTTCTGTGTTCTGCTGTTCGCTACAGTTTTTTGGGTGCCTTGAACGCATCATGGTGTAGCACGCATGTGCATCGTGTTCTGTTCCATTGGTGGTTTATAAGTGTGTGAAAGTGGAGTTTGTTGAGTTTTTGTTTTGAACACTGTTGGGAAAGATACTTTAAAAAAGTGATTAGTTATGGTTTCTAGGTACTTCTCCCAAAAAGCAATAGACTTAGTAACTAAATTACTAATCTATAAAAATAATTAGTAACCAGGGAGAATCACTATTGTGTTACTTTAAATATTTTAAACTTTAAAAGTTTAAATATGTCGAAGAATTAAACTTTCTATTTTCTTAGCTGGTTTCATGAGACTTGACTGCATAGACAGATACTTCAAACTGCTTTGTAACAAAAATACAGTTTAACAATATGACCTACTTTAAACATCCTGTATTTGCCTTAAAATACAAGCTTTGTCCTTTTTATTGGTCAAAATTTTATTTTTCTTATACTTTAACACATGATCACAGTAATAAACTGGCCAAAGAAAAAGGTTTGATCGAGAAACGTGTGCACATTTGGAAGTGGGAAAGAATTCTTTGACGAAATAGACATGGTACGTTGTTGTTAAGTTTTTCATTCTGTCATTTCGCATTGAGGGAGTAAACGTATAGTACTACTTTCGAGGACATTAAAGCCATCATCCCAGAGACACAACCTACAACATCCTCAGCTCGGAACTTCTGTGTGTTAGTAGAAATCTCTACAATGTCATGTTCATTTGTTTTCCTCATAATATTTTGATTGTGTTTTGTAAAAAATGTTAAAATGAAATCTTGCTTTATTCAGCCATGTTGTGGGTTTTTTATATACATACACACATGTTACGTTGGTGTGTGAATTTCTAAATTAAAACTGTAAAAAAATGTATGATTTATTATCATCACCGAAACATGCATTGTTATTTCTAAAATGTATGAAACATTAATGAAACAGATTTTCCTTTAAGGTTATTTTATTAAATAGAAAAATAGTAGCTTGTTTTAAAATGCATGTGCAGATGTACGTACATCAAGTGCTTCAATGTTTACCACATCATTTAGAAAACATGTTACATTTCAGTGAATTTTAAAAATTATCAGGTTGTAGATTGCAAAATGCGTTGCAGCAATGAGGGAAAAAAGAAAAGTAAATAAAAAATAGTAAATTTAAAAACATTTGCTATTGTAGAGTTTGAAGTAATCCTGTGTGACAATTAATAATCAATTTTTTAAATGTTTAAAATGGTTAGGGTTTTCTAAATAGTCTTGATGCTTTTAGAAGTATGTGGTAATTGTTATGGATATGTTTTGCAAAAAAAAGGTATTAAATTGTCAGTGAATATTTTACAAACAACAATCAAACCAGACTTTATTAATGGTTAAAAATAAAATGTATTGATCCAGTTTTTTATAAAAATTCCATGTTTCCAAACTTTGAAATCTTTAGTACACCATGACATTAATAATTTAAGTAATAAATTATAAATTAAGTAATATGCATTTTAGTAAAATACCAAAACAAAATAATAAAGCTAATAATTTTCTCTATGAATCAAACAGTGGAATCAAAGAATCAGAGTATATGTATAGAAATTGGTTTTATTTACATTTTGCATCTCGTAATGCCTCCAGTTTTGTCTGAATGTATGTTATGTCATTTTCACAGATTTAAACAAAAATATATATTCTAGAAAAAACTAATGTACACTCTAATGGATGTTGTAAGTGACTGAAAAGTTACTAATTCAATTTATATGTCTAATAATAATGACGAAATAGAGCATGTTTTAGGACATAATTTTGCA